CTCTCTTTTCTCCCCGGACCCCCGTTTTTCAGTGTTTCTCCCGGGGAACGACACGTTTGGTAGGGAAAGACACACAATAATTACGTATATAGGAGGTAAAAATAACGCGCGCGAAAGCAAAACCGGATGGTGTATATCTGGTGATTATTACGATAACGAGCGGGCGTTGAACCGAGAGGAGCGTGTCTTCTCATCACCGAGAGAAGGTGTCTTCATTTTCTGGAAGCCACATTTTCTAGTTTCCGGTGGCGTACAGAGGTAGCTGCTTGGCTGTTCCCCTCTATGGCGAATGGCTTGGTCGCGCTCCTCACCTTTTCATGCCTCCTTTTATAAATAATCTCATTACCTGTCGCCCACCGGCGATTTCCACACCTCTTTTTAAAAATCTATAGTTTCACCCCACTGCTTTGTTCTTAATTACCTCCCAGCAAAACGTAACCCGATATATACCCCCCCTCCCTATCGCACCCCAAGCTCCCATCTCCCTCTCTCTCTCTCCCTCTCTCTCTCTCTCTCTCTCTCTCTCTCTCTCTCTCTCTCTCTCTCTCTTCGTCGCTGCAGTAATATACGACAATGCGGGATAAAACCGTTTGCCACATGTGTGTTAAACGTGCGGTATTAAAATTTTAGACGCACCATACACATACGCCCCGATTACGTGAGGGATGATGGGCTGTCAACGCTGGATGTGGTCTGGGGCGGTATGGGAACGCACGTCAAAATACACAGACGCATGCGCGCGCGCACACACACACACACGCACGTCCATGCCATATTGTCTGCACGTGTGGACACTGTGATCGAGTTGATGAGAGGCATTGACCATCATAGACCAATCCTAGTGGTCGGCTTCATAGGCCATCACCACCACCATGCTGTTGATGATGATGACGATGATGATGATCGTCAAAGATCCACCACCTGCCAATCACCCCCTATGCAGTGCGCTGCGGGGCCTGGCGGGGCATGGCGGGGTGTGGCGGGGGCCGGCGGGCATACGGCGCACCCCGCTCCCCATAAAGATGGCACCCCGTGCGCATGCCAAGCAGCAACGCCGTGCCAATAACAGAACGCACCTGATGACATTGTTTGCCACACAAAACACGTAACCCATCACGCGTGGGCGTAACCGTGCGCCGCGAGTGAGCTGCTGGGCCACGACCGTGATAGGCCCTACAAATAGGGCACGCCACGAGTGAGCAAGGGCCACCGTACAAGTACGACTACTTATGAATTTACTTCCGAGCAGTGTGTTACACTGTTAGTCCGGTGGTAGGATAAATCCGAGGAGTGGCTCGGATTTTCACGTGGG